TATTGTTAATTTAAAAATGGATTGATATAGGAAATAAATATCTGGTAAGTTAAAGGTAGGAGCAAAATGTAGCATATAATAGGAGGAAACTTGGTAGTTCAGTAAAGAGGAAAAGATGAATTTTAAAACATTCAAATAAAGACAAAAACGTTAAAGTTCCATGGAATACGTCTGGTCTTTGTGCTTTAAGAACTCTTTATTTTTCATTTTGTCCTTGGGCTATAACTTTAACATGGCAACTGGTGATTACACCCAAAATTTAACCAGGAATTCTTGATGCTCATTTGTTAAAGATTCAAATATAAACAAGATTTCTATTACCACAAGAAAGGAAAAACAATGTCTTTATCCATAAAGAACTTAAGTATATAAAACTTAAAATATAAACCCAAGCATAGATGGTACAGATTCTGGCTATGCAGAGTTATGTCCTTAACTCTGGAGAAAAAATTGCTTATATTTTCCATCCAGGTCATATAAATGGACTCACAAAGAATAGAATTCCTTTATTTTACAGCAATTAAATGCTGCAAGTAAAAACTAATACCTGAAAACTGTCACCATGTAAGAATTCCAGTTAAAACATGAACATCCATCAAATTAAAATAAACTTAAATAACATAAATATTTCCAATACTAATCAAAGTAGGAATAACTGCTTCATTAGGAGGATGTACTCAATTCATTAGGAGGATGTACTCAAAAAGAATGGTCAAAAGAGCTGGGTTGTAGCTCAGTGGTAAAGTGTTTACCTAGCGTGTGTGAGACTACAGTTCAATTTCTAGCCTGTAAGCTCACACACACAAGCACCACACAGAGAATGGTCACAAAAGGAAACATAATATACATTATATATGTTATTCATCCAGCATTTTCCCTGTAAATTATTTAGTTTTGTGCTGATAGACAAAAAACAAGGAGACAGCTGAACAAGGAATTATGTTCAGATTACTCAAGTGTTCCATTTAAAGAAATGTAACTTCACGGTTTTGCACTTCCTGGTATTTATGTTATTGGGTTCACACTAAATATGGGCTTGCCCTATGTGACTTGTCTTGGCCTATAGGACACTACCAAGTCCAACACAAATGGGCTTGATAAAATGTTTTCATATTGTGGCTTATAAAGATTCCTCTTGGAAGCCAGCTAATGTGAAACCTAGGCTAGACAGTGAAAGACAAGAAGTCATGGAGAGAAAGACCTTGAAAAACAAAAAGCCATCTTGGGTCTCTCAACCCAATTGAGTGTTCAACTGAATGGAGCCATATGAGTGACCGCAGCTATACCAAATGAAGCAGAATTGCCCATCTGAGCCTAGTCAACTCATACAATCATGAAAAATGATAAATGTGGGGGAAGTCTTTCATGTTACCATAGGTAACCAAAATAGTTTTATTAAATTTGTTTTTTAAAAAGGAATTAAAGTTTGGTTTGGGTGAAGAGTTAAAAATGAAAAACTTTATCCTATGTGTAATGTTAAAATATAATGGGAAACAACATAAATTCCTGACCTTAAATTTTATCTCTTTTAGTTCTATTTAACTACAATGACCCAAATAACAATATCATTTCACCACACAAGCCTGTTGTGTCCTAGGTGCTTTGGTCTTTAATATCACATTGTACTATATTTCCTTGGAAGCATGACTAATTCCATTCAGAGCAGGGGAGATACAAAGTGGGACAATCAGTTAATGTCACAAAATAAGAAATCTTTAAAAATATATGGGATCTTGTGTACATCCACAATACTGGGCTCCTAATAAGATATATTTCCATGCTTATATAAATATATCAAAATAGATTCTACTATCATGCATAACTAAAAAAGGAACAAATAAAAATAAATAAAATAAAATATATGGGATCCTACCAAAGGAATAGAGAAAGCAGATTGCAGCAGCTCCACCATATCAAGGCATGAATATTTAGCCTCAGAAAAAAAAATTAAATAAAATAACTTGTTTTAAAAAGTCACAAATACATAATGATCCTAAAAAAGAAAATATTTTCTTTTCAAACAACTTGTATTATACCTCTTTTATTCATATAGTGAAATTGTTGCTTAATTTTAAATTTTACATACATTATAAGGAGATTAAAGTATCTCCATTTAAGGGCTAAAATGATCAAAAGAACAAAAAGACAGAACATTTTCCCCCATTAAAACATTAATGGATAGGCTAATGAAACTTCCTCCTTCTCCCCTAAGGCCTTTCTGGACATTCACCAATTAGAGGACAAGCTCATTATCTCAAACATTAGGAAGTGTGTCAGTACATTCCATTCATAGGTTTGGGAGACCTTCCTGAGTGTCTTAGCCTTGAGCACTGAAAAGATGTAAAGTGAACCTGCAGCATTAAAAACCAAGTGAATTTTACCTTTAGAGTGTACTTAAAATAAATGTTTTCTCTCAGTGTATTTAGTGATAGATTTTAACAATTATTGCTAGTTGCCTCCTTAATATTTCCCTTGCCTTGTTTGGCTCATTAGGGCAAAGGACAAGGATGAAGGTCAAAGACTCACATACTGCACTTCCTTTTAATATCAATCTAAAGAAGCAAGTTAAGAGGTTTTGTCACTCTAAACTGACACCTACCATTAACTCTATTTTTGCTGATCTATATGAAGAGATGCCTAGAAAAAACAATTTACTCATGAAAATTAAAAAAATATCTCCCCCAAACTACTATTTCACAGTCTTGTATGTGTAGCTTCAGGCCCTTAATTTAGTGACTTGAAATTTTAAAAAGCAAATTATATAATTTTAGTAATAGTTAATATTAGGTAGTAAAGCAAATCACAGTGAAAACACATTAAAGAGGAATGATTTTTAAATTAGAAAATATTTCAAACTAAAACTGAAAAATCAGATATAAGAAATTAATTTAATGTATAAAAATTAAGTATATAGGATATTTACCCAGCACCATCAGGATGTGTGTATATGTAGGAAAGCATATACCCAAGCCTCATTCATGTCAGGATGAATTTAGATTAAACCAGAACTGAAGTTTTTTTCAACATATATATTTAATATGCCTATGATCTTTGAACTGCAATTTTCATTATAAAAACCTATCTTATCATTGGCATGAAAGAGCATTATTTTATTTGACTTTTTCATCAATAGTTGTTCCAATAGTGGCCATATAAAAGAAGGCTTAATTGATTTAAATCAAACCTAATAACATAAGCCTAGTTTCACTGGTATACTTATTTTTTTAATTAAAAACAGGGAGAGAGAAAGAATAAGAAAGGAGAAAGTAGTCATGTAATATTACCCTACATAACTTTTTTTTTATAACTTTATTTTATTTATTGATATTTGGTGCTGAGGATCAAACCCAGGGCCTTGCACATTCGAGGCGAGTGTTCTACAGCTGAGCCATAACCCCAGCCCCTACCCTACATAACTCTTAATCTATTTCTGTAGAAAAGAGGTAAATCACATTTTCCAAGATATCTTCTATGATCTACAATCTGGTTAGTTATTTATTTGTCCTATACTACTTACATATTCAACACAAAATCATTCCTTTTTCTGAGAAATGTCTTCATTTCCTTAACAGCCTTAAAAAATCTTAGCTAGAGGGGTGCAAAGAAAAAGAACAGGCCACAAAATTGTGTAGTTAGGCAGGAGATTGCACTGCATAAAGTGAGTATCCAGGACTGCTGAATAGCAGTGCCAGGCTGTACTGTGTGACAGTTAATGTCACTTTAGTTAAAAATTTCCATATATTTTAGTCAGCTATGACCTACTGCTCTACTACTACCAAAATGCAATAATAGTATCAGTAATAACAATCACCAATTATCCAGAAAAGATAATTATCTTCATTGTGTTTGGCTCATTTATGGCAAAGAAGAAAAATTTTACAAAGATTTTTATTAAAAACAGCTAAAAATCATAAGTGTTACTTGATTTTGGGGGGGATGGCGATACTGGAGATTGAATTTAGGGGGACTTGACCACTGAACCACATCCCCACACCTATTTTGTATTTTATTTAGGGGCAGGGTCTCACTTATTTGCTTAGCACCTCCCTTTTGCTGAGGCTGGCTTTGAACTTGCGATCCTCCTGCCACAGCCTCCAGAGCTGGATTACAGGCCCATGCCACCAGGCATAAGTGCTAGTTTTAAAGGGCTAATTTTAACTACTAAGACACTTCCTCAAGAACTTTTCCCACTACTATTCATGATAATTTAGGTTGTGTTACATTTTAATTTTTAAATCTAATTTTCAACTACAATCTTTTAACAAGTCTGAAATATAGGTCTGCATACTTAACATGCACTATAAGACTTTTTCACACATACCCCGTTGAGTGAATTTTATTTATTAATTTGGTTAAACCAAACTAACGTTATTAAATACTGCAATGAATTACAGTTCGACTAGATGAGCAGGCCTCACAGTTATTATCTGGAATATCATTATCAGAGACCACACTTAAACACCTCCAGATGTCCCCAAGATGTTGGTAATGTAGAGAAGTCTCAGCACTGCTGAATTTGACCTTACTGGTATTCAGCTCTTGGGGAGGAACAAAAGAGCTCCTCGGGAAGATCTAAGTTAGAATTCTGCTTAGCTAAGGCTTCTCACCCCTTGCACGCCATGACGCACTTTGTGGGAATGAGTTAGTGAGTATTCTAGACGGTAGCCCCCAATCTGCATGCTAACTTTGGTCATCCTTTGACCATTGGGGTCAGACAACCTTTTCTTGTTAAAAGGCGGGGTTGTAATGATTTCCGTCTCTGCAAGCCACACTGTGTGTGTGTGCTACAATCCCTTCACCGCCCTTCCAATGCAGGAAAGCAGAATAACTGCTGCGGTGTCTCATTGAAACTTAGTATTTATGAGCAGTGAAATCTGAACTTTTTACTTTTTCACATGTCACATTTATGTTTTGAAATGTCAAGGCCATTCTGGGCAGATCAGACAGACAAAAACAGGCTGGCATCGCAGGGAACGCGTCCTCCTCCCGTGCTGTCTCACCCAGGCGTCTGGAAGAGGCCCAGGGTGGCACAGGGCGAGTCTCCCCGCGGAGGAGGCCACACTCCAAGGGCTCCGCCTGCCCGACAGCGCCTCCCGCACGCTTGCGGTCCCGGGTCCGCCCGGTGGCGACGCGGACGCGAGCAGAGCGACACATCTCGGCGCCGGGCCAGCACCCTGGACATTGGGGCAGGAGGAGTGCCGGACCCGGGAAAAGCAAAAGCCGCACTTCCGGTGGCCGAGACCTGGAGGCTGCCTGAGGACCCTCGGGTCGCCGCCGCCTAGGCCGGTCACTCACTCGGAAACGCCGGCGTTGACGAAGGCCATAGCAAAAGCGCGACTAGAAGGACCATGGGCTTCATGGGCGTCGTCCGCAGCACTCCGCCATGCGACGGGAACGTCCTGGGCTACCAGGCCGGGTAGCTCGGGGCCGAAAGGGAAGGGTGTCAGCGGCCGACCGTCCCACCTCAGGGCCCGGGGCGCCCCGCAACGGTCGGGTCGTCGCCACCGCAACGTAGCGGCGGCGTGGGGGAGGGGTGGCGCCGAGGTCGGCCCTGCGCGCCCGCCAGTGCGCATGTGCGCGCGGCCTCTGGAGCGGGCGCGGATCGAGGGGTCGTGACGCCGGCCGCGCTGCTGCGAGTTCTCACGTTGGGTCACAGCCCTGGCCAAAACCCCGGCCCTGCGCAGGAGGAGCTGTGTGGTGTCTGAGACAACCTGGCAATTAAAAAAAAAAAAAATAGCGTGAACTGGCTATAATAGAGGGAAGCACCCCGCGCTCCTCAGCGCAGAGGCAGATGTCCTGCTGTCCCTAGGGCTCCAAATGGAGGAGCACCCCAAGAACTGAAGACAGTAACCATAAAGCATCTTTAAAAAATGAAAACAGTTCAGGCTAATTGCATGGGGGGAGGTAGGCAAGTGCATTAAAGACACCTTAAGGGGCTTAGGTAGTTTTGTTGGTTTCCAAGATTGTTTCTTTGATGATGGGGAGGGTGTGACTACAAAAGGGGTCATGAGATAGCTTTGGAGAGTTACAGGCAATGGCGGTGGCCATAAGAATCTATACTTGTGTTAAAATTTTTAGAACTGTACACCAAAAAATACATCTTACTGTACAATTATTTTTTAAATAACATATATTTATATCTTTGCCCTGGGAAGCAAGGGGTTGGATGTTGGTGTGAGACACTAGGGACATACTGCAGGGTATTGAGGTGGGGAAGGTTGTGATTAAATTTGCATTTCAAAAGTCTCACTTTTCCTGCAGCCTCTAGAATGGGTTGAACTGGCACATGCTCATAATTCCAGCAGCTCGGGAGGCTGAGACAGGAGGCTTGATAGTTCAAAGCCAGCCTCAGCAAAAGCGAGGAGCTAAGTTACTCAGACCCTGTCTCTAAATAAAATGCAAAATAGGGCTGGGGTTGTGGCTCAGTGGTCGAATGTCCCTGAGTTCAATTTCCATTCTCCCCCTCCCCCAGAAAAAAAAAAAAAAAAAAGAATGTGTTGAAGGGAAGCAAGACTAGAGACAAAGAGCCAAGTTAGGAGGCGGTTCCAGTAATCCAGGCATGGACTGATAAGGGTCTAGACTCCTGGTGGGGCAAGGGACATGGGACATGTGGACAGATCTGAGACATTAGAACTAACATCAACAAGATTAGAGTGTTGTTTGTGGAAATGAAGAGAGGAGGAGGTGATACCCCCATTCCTGTTTTGTGCATCTAGGAATGAGGTGGTACCATTTACTGAGATGGACAACAATTCAGGCACTTACAGGAGTAGAGCAAGATGATGGGGGAGGGGGTTTGTTTTCATCATTGTTATAGTGAAGGTGGGCTTGGGATTTCCTCCCACAGTGGCCTGTCCAGTGAGAGGATGGAAGTGGGGCCCTGGAGAGAGCTGAAATGGAAGTGGAGGTTTGGAAGGCATCCAGCATCTAGAAGTGGGGATGTCTACGGAAAGTCTGTAGAGCAAGTATGCTGTAGAGCCTAGGAAAGATTCCTGGGAAACACGGCAGGCTGGAGAGAGCAGGATGGACCTGCAAAGACCGAAAGTGGGGTAAGGAAACTGGGAGAACCAAGAACCTTTGTGGAAGAATAGGAGTTTCAGACTTTCAACTGAGAAGCCAACAAAAGAAGGACTTCATTTAGCAATGAGATGGTTGACAGAAGCAGTTTCAGTGGTGTGGCTCAGGCAAAAGCCAGGTCACGGTGAGTTGAGAGATGAGTTAGAGGTGATAAAGTGGTGACAGCACAGTATAGACAACTTTTTCAAGATTGGTGCATGAGTCTTCAATGCACTCCAGAAGTGCTCAATCCACATACAACAGCATGTTACAATCAATTGCAACTATTTGGAAAGCAATCTGGAATATGTAACAAAAGAATTAACCTATAAACACTATGATATACTATAAATTCAGGGAAGAAAACTTTGTGTCCTAAAATAACCACAGTCTATGATTATGATCTATGATAATCAAAATACAAATTGAAAGAATGAAAAAGTTATAGAATGAATTTTTGTGTCCCCCACCCCCATTCACATGTTAAAATCCTAATCTCCAGTGTGATAAGGAGGAATGGGAGCTTTTGAGGTGTTTTGGTTATGGGGGTGGAGCCTTGAAGAATGGGATTAGTATTTTTGTAAGGCAGCTCCCTGAATCCTGCTTCCATGTGAGGATCCAGTGAAGACAGTCATTTGTGAACCAAGAAATGGCTCCCACCAGGTACCAAATCTGCCAGTGCCTTGATTTTGGATTTCTCAATTTCTAATTGTGAGAAATAAATATTTGTTATTTAAACCATCTAGTCTATGATATTTTGTTACAGCCGCCTATATAGACTAAATGGCGAAAGGCTCTCGTGGTGGATCAAATTTTAAGATATTAACTAAGCTCTCACCTTCTTTGGCTGCCTTGTACCATTACCTTTTTTTCTGCATTGAGACACTAGTAATAATCTTCTTAATGTACTTGCTACGGGAAGGACAGCTAGAATCTCAAAAGAGGAAGATTTCTGGGAGCAGAAAAGAGGGGTTGATGTGTGTACATGGACCCGCCCAACATGTTTTGGGAGTCACTGAGAAGGCTTCTGTCTCTTTCTTTTCAGGAGAAACTGCCAAATTTTCAAACACACTCTGCATCCAACATGGGGCCAAGTACTTAAGCAGGTCTGGCTGACTGAGTTGCTTTTGAAGACAATCTAGGCAGACTGCTCACCAGGAGAGCTCAGAAATGCTGAGCAAGGTCCTCTCACCTCAGGAAGGCCTACAGTGTAGACCAGAAGGAAGCCAAGTATATGGATAATTACTGACATACAGCAGGTACTCATTAAATATTAGCCTGAACATGGGCCGACCTAATTCTGATTCTAATGAATAGAATATGACAAAAGCAATGAGATGTCACTTTGGAGATGAAGACACAAAAAAACTATGGCTTCCATCTTGAGCACACCCTGTTGCTCTCTGACTTACTGGGGGAAGGCAGGTGCACTTGTTAAGGAGCTGATATCTTCAGCCCACCACCAGGGATGACAATCATGTGAGTGAACTTGAAACAGATCCTCCCCAGGCAAACCTGGAGATGACCACAACCCAACTGACATCTTGATTACAGCCTCACAGAGACCCCAAGCCTGAGGCATCAGACTAAGCCACACCCAAATGCCCAACCTACAGGAACTGAGATAAGAAATGGTTGTTATTCAGTGGAGGGAAAAGCATTTGCCCAAGCAAGAGCTGCAAACAAGGGCCTCTGTCAGTTTGCTCCTCGAAAGAGGATGCATGTGGAAAGACACCTGCATTTGGCTACACTATTTGATTGAAGTTAAAAATCATTCTTCTTCAAGACCCATCCATTTTCATCAACCAATCAAACTGGTAGGTTAGGTGTATCTTTAAATCTCTGATGGTGACACTTATTATAGCTAGACTCCAAGGGACTGATAGAACTTCTATTTTCCTATTTGGACTGGGGGAAGGGGAGGAGAATAAAGCTCTATGGGTATAAATTCAGGTTAAAATTTCTTTAATCACTTCATCCCAATAAGCTCTGCTCTAACCCATAAAATAATGTGGTCCTCTGAATCCGTGGGAGTTAGCATAGCTACCCAACTGTCAATCTCAGAGGATTAAGACTTCCCTTTTTTTTTAAAATCTATAAGGACCAGTACCCATTCCCAGAAGGGAAAGTTAAGGAGTTAGGAGTCACAAGCACATTCCTATGATGCTACCTCTGAGTTCTTTCTGGAGGTTTCTGGCTTTTCCTTTCACTTAGGAGATTCTGCATTTGTCAACAGACTGGGCTTTTGGAATTTAGTGAGGGGTTATAAGTGAAAGGATCAAGTGAGATGTCTGTTTTGTTAGGCTTCAATTTGGGGTTATTTTTTGCTTGTTTGTTTAACTGTATAAATCACATAAGAATTTAGCAGCTTTCGTCTTGTGAACTATCAAAAAGGAAATGGTGAATGAAGCAACATGTATATTTTTACGGTGGAATGCTAGTTTAAAAGAATGAATTTTAACTCTGTATACTCTGTGATCTGTACTAACAGAAAACTTTCTAAAGCATAGTATTCAATGGGAATAAAAACAGTGCAGGATGGGCTGGGGTTGTGGCTCAGAGGTAGAATGCTTGACTATCATGAGTGAGGCACTGGGTTTGATCCTCAGCACCACATAAAATAAAGGTATTGTGTCCACCTATAACCAAAATAAATAAATAAACATTTAAAAAACAATAATACAGGAAAACATATATTTGTATTTATGTAAAATCATAGTACAGTTATATCTATACATGAAATCACCAGAAATTATTTGGGAAAGAAACACAGCAAGATGAAAACAATGTTTGTTTCCAGGAAGAGAAATGGGAATGGGGAGAACAGGAAATTCCAAAAGGAGAATTTTACTTTTTACTCTTAAGTATTTTTTTAAAAATATTTATTTCTTAGTTGTACACAATACCTTTTTTTTTGTTTATTTATTTTTATGTGGTGCTGAGGATCGAACCCGGGGCCTAGCATGTGCTAGGTGAGCGCTCTACCGCTGAGCCACAACCCCAGCCCCACTCAAGTATTTTTATTATCCCATGAGTTTTTCCAAACAAGATCATTGTATTTTTTTCATTGCTTATGTAGTTAAAAATAAAAACAATAT